AGTACTCAGTGACGTCAGCAACGTCGACGCGCTAGGACTAAAACCATTCATGAATTTTAATGTACAACAAGCTCCCCGATTTGCACGAATTATAAACGAATTATAATTTTTAATCCCTTGTTAAATAATGAAGTGAATTTTTCTCCCAAAAAAGCCGTAGAAACTTGATTAATTTTTCGAAATTTCTGAAAAAAGTTTACGTTGGTACGAGTTTAGTCGCGGGGATCCCCAAATCCACATCGTAAGGAATAAAATTAAGCACGCTGATTGATTTTACGGCTGTTTTCGAATCGGTTTCTGACTGCTCCACTGTAATTTACTTTTAAAAACTCATTGATACCACTATGCTTCTTTCTCACTGAAAATGCTGGTGACAAGTAATATCTTTGTTTTAATTGATAACGCTTTTATTAACATCAACCTCCTCACTTGGAAGGTTGAAGATGATTCCTTATCCTGACTTCTCTAAAGTGTGCGAGCGCTACGAACCGTCGGGCCTGTCATAAACTCAGTTTTTCACAATACTTTTTTTTAGTGCGAATCATGTAGGAATGTGAGAAAATGGGGTAAACAAGATAAAAAAGAGCATTTCTCTTCTTACAAGCTCGAAATCGAATGACAAAATAGCTGAGCGCATCACCATGATACATGACGATAGCTTCATTCGTCTCACTTACCAGCGGCTCCGGCTTCACATTGCAGAACCTAAAGCAGGCTTCACGGCTTAACGAGAATATCGTTTTCTTTGCGCAGATTTTTACAATAGGATGGAAAGCATGAGGCTTGACGGTGTGACTATGCGCTTCTGCATTAAAATTGATGCAAAAAATGCGCATGAATTGTTGTTTATTTTACACTTACCTTGTGCTCTCACTAGCGTAAACCATTAAATTTCGCACAAAGAAAAGTGATCAATTTCTGTTTAGCGGTCACTATTTGATGATCATCTAGCTAACTCAGCCTCTAAGCTTTCCTGGTTCCTGACTTAACAGTTTTCTAACCACAACTTTCGCCCTCTTGGACAGGGCATTCAGACGTGCATGAAGATGGTACCGCGGCCCTGTGGTGGCACTTAGCCAGCTAAAAGTTTTAGCGAGTTGAAATGCCTGGATAAGATGCAAATACACACGCATGCATACTGTCGTCAAAATATGCGCTTATGCATTTACACATGCACAGAAACATAAAAAGTAAAGCTCAGAGACTGTAAAAAACTTCAGTGGATTCGAAAATCAGTTAGTGTAGGTATCCGCACCTAGCGCCCGTGTTGCTAACATCCTTGTAGCGTACTTCGGTGAAGCTGTCACCGCATAGCACCGACGAGTCGAATTTGAACGCATCAAATAATAAATAGATCCGTTTTGATGGTTTTGCCTGTAACATGAAAATCTACATAAAATCATTCTAAGACACACATTCAACTGGAAAAACGATCATGTGCCTCTGTTCAGTTTTTCTAACAGAGCGTTTCAGAATTTTAGCAGTAGCGCTCATGAACAGATGAACGATGCGTAGCATGCAAAAACTGCGTGATGCAAAACAAACTTAATTATGTAGCTTGGAGCACTAGCTATTGAATGTACGCGTTTTTATGCGTTTTTGCCGTGCAGCGCTAGAGCGCTGCAATAGGCAGCAAAAACGCATATTGCAACGTCCCTATCAGTGTGTGTGTGTGTGTATGTTGTGTGTGTTCGTCTGTCCGGGTGTTTCAACTCGCCAACCACGCAAGCTTTGAGGCTGAAATTTTGCTAGTGTCTTCCCTAGACCCAAGTGACCCCAGGACCGCAGTATCAACTCTCACGCACGTCTGGGCCCCGCGTACGAGCACGTGAAAGTTTTGGCGCGAAAATTGATAACTCGGGAACGAGAAAAGCTAGAAAGCTGAAACCTTCGGGTAATGTTCCCCACCTATGTGTGACAAAAAGATTTCAAATTCAGCTACCCAAGACTGCCCGGGGCTTACGTACGGGCGCGTGAAAATTTTGGCGGGAAAATCCACAACTCGGGAAGGAGGAAAGCTAGAAAGTTGAAACTTTGGAGGATTGTCCCCTACTCATGTGCGGCCAAAAGTTTTTAAACTCAACTCCTTAGGGCAGCCCGGGGCTACGGGCACGTGAAAATTTTTGGCGCGAAAATTACTAACTCGGCGGCACGAAAAGCTAGAAAGCTGAAACTTTGGGGTAATGATTCCTCCACATGTACGACCAAAACAAGGTGTTCAGAAGTGCCCGGGGCCCACGTGCGGGCACGTAGAAATTTTGGCGCGGGAAACACTAACCCGGGAGTGAGGGAAGCTAGAAAGCTGAAACTTTGGGGGAATTTTCCCTACTCATGTACGAGCAAAATCAGGTGTTTAGGAGCGCCCGAGGCCCACATACGAGCGCGTGGAAATTTTGGCGCGAAAATTACTAGCCCAGGAGTGGGAAGAACTAGAAAGCTGAAACTTTAAGAGGATGTTCTCTACTCATGTACGAGCAAATTCAGGTCTTCAGAACCGCCCGGGCCCACGTACGAGCACGTGGAAGTTTTGGCGCGAAAATAACTAACCCAGGAATGGGAAGAGCTAGAAAGCTGAAACTTTAAGGGAATGTTCTCTACTCATTTGCGAGCAAATTCAGGTGTTCAGAACCGCCCGGGGCCCAAGTACGAGCACGTGGAAATTTAGGTACGAAAATTATTAACCTGAGAATGGGAAGAACTAGAAGGCTGAAACTTTAAGGGAATGTTCCCCACTCATGCACGAGCAAAATCAGGTGTTTAGGAGCGCCCGCGGCCCACATAAGAGCGCGTGGAAATTTTGGCGCGAAAATTACTAGCCCGGGAACGGGAAGAGCTAGAAGGATGAAACTTTAAGGGAATGCTCTCTACTCATGTACGAACAAATTCAGG